AGCAGTGCCCCATTAAATGGACAGATTTCCAACGAGAAAACTCAACAGTGAAAAGTACAAAAATAATATTAACCAAAAACCCAGTTTGAGTGGGGCCAAGCCAAGTAATATTTCTAAAAATAAGTGTAGTCTTATTATAAATGTTAGTTCTCTTCTAATTCTAGTGGACTCAGGGCCAGACTTTAATAAGCCAAGTAAGCGGCAGAATAGTGCCGCACAATATGAGGGGCATCAAAAAATTCATTTCAAGATTTATTGTGTTGACTTACTGCTTTATGTGACAACATGGAATTCTTTTAATGTTCATTGCAGCTGTCTGAATGATTTCACTTCTGGCAATTAAAAGAATAGAAATTCATTAAATAATATTATGGATTTAAACAAAGCAATTTTAAATGGGCAAATTCATTTTTCCTTCTTCTGGATCAGCCAAACAATGGGTGGGGTGGGGGGGTTATATTTTAAATAATGTACTCATCTTTGGCCTTTCCAGCACCGATGCCCTTAAATCTTCTGAATGTGTAATATGTTTTATTAATTTGTCTTTAGCTATGTCTCTATTCTCCAATCCACCAAGTTTCTAATTTTGTGCTCTCAGTCATAACTACATACTTTTCAGACTGAACTAACACAGAAAACATTTAAAAGCTGAGAGCTATGACTGACAGTAATTGTAACGGTTCCTTGCAATAGTTATATTACTGAATTTCTAACATTAACAACAATACAAATTATTATACCAGGTCCACAATTTATGAGGCTCCGTTTTTGCTTGGATTGCGTGGTCGGCCGGTGCTCTGTTGATATGGGCGGGAGTTGTGCGCGTTCTTGTGGGTGACCGCGAACAGTTTCAGTGCCGCTAGTAACAGCGAACTACGAATATTTCTCACATTATAATCCTAAATCCAAGGCCTGAGGATTTGGAAGTGAATTGCACGAGGCTGGAGGCTCGCCAGGCCCGGTTAAAAGCTGAAAACAAAGCTGGAAAAGCACAATACAAAGGGCAAGGTAATAAAACAACTTCATCAACAGAAAAATCGAATCAGGACATTACAAATAAGTCATCAGATCTGTCAAGCAGAGTCAATGGTTTAAATTATTATAACAGTATTTTTTTATTTATGGCATTCATTTTTCACCCACCTGTTCACAGTTGTCACTTTTATGAATGTATTAATACAATCTTATCCATGGAAAATTGTATTAGTAATATTCATACTTTATATGGCGACATTGAGAAACCGTAAAATCATTACGTCTCTGTTAGGAAATTCAGATACCACTTTCCTAGAGGAAAATAATCAGAGAAGTTTGTTATTCATTTTGGTAATTCAAATTAATTGTATATGCATTTGTTGTGCTGTCACTGCACATGTTGCGAATGAATATACGAGGCGCGTCCCAATACCGGCACTAAGCATCGTTGCAGCTGTTGAAGATGGAGGTTCTTATTCCAGCTCCCGCCGACTGTGAAGTGCGGTCAGTGATATAAAGTTTTTGAATGCACAGAGCATAGCGCCGATCGAAATTCATCGTCAGCTGTGCCGGGTCTATGGGCCTAACGTTATGAGCAAGCAGATGGTGCGTCGCTGGTGCAAACAATTTTCAGCGACGGGCCATTCAGAACAAGCGGCGCGGGATGCTTAGTGCCGGTATTGTCTTCCTGCACGATAACGCTAGGCCGCACACGGCTCGACGGACAGCAAGTCTCCTGCAGGAGTTCAGCTGGAAGGTGTTTAATCATCCACCCTACAGCCCGGACCTCGCTCCCAGTGATTTCCATCTTTTCCTACACCTCAAGAAATTCCTGTCCGGTCAGCGTCAGCGTTTTGAGAATGACAGAGAGGCGGAGATGGTTGTCACACAGTGGTTCCAATCCCAGGCGGCAGACTTCTACGACACAGGTATTCAAAAGTTGGTCCCACGGTATGACAAATGTCTCAATTCCGGTGGCGAATATGTTGAAAAATAGCTAGACACTTGCTGTATCTGTTGCAATAAATATTTACATGAAATTGTGTTTTGTTTCTGTAAACGGAACCAGGAAAACTTACTTTGAGGACGCGCCTCGTATAAGTAGTATTCATACTTTATATGGCGACGTTCAGAAACCGTAAAATCATTATGTCTCTGTTAGGAAAGGAAGATACCACTTTTCTGGAGGACAGTGATCAGAGAAGTTTGTTATTCATTTTGGTAATTCAAATTAATTGTATATGCATTTGTTGTGCTATCACTGCACACGTTGCGAATGAATATAAAATGAGAATTTAACTAACAAAACATAATCTGTCTGTATAAAGAAAGCCATCAACTGAAGACAAGAGTAAAGCCAACTCTTGAAATGTGTATACCTCATGCATATCAGACAGTGGACAATGTCTGACATAATATTAGTATAATGAATGAACCATTGTTATGAACTTGTAGTAGATCAGCCTGTGCCTTACTGGTTAATTACATATTGAGACTATACCTTCCGTGTAGGATCCGAAGCTTTCAAGGCGACTAAGTATAATGAATTCTTGTTGGGCTACCAACAGTGTAAGGTTTTTTTCTCCATTAAAGCAACTTACAAGGCTCGTAGCCCGAGAACAATTCATTAAACTTTCCTTATTCATTTTTATGTACACTGACTGGTACATTTTTCTCCAAAAGCTGTTCAGCAGTTCTAGCAGAATAATGTAGAAAAATTTATGGGAATCAGTTTAGGCTGTAGTTCAGCTTTCCTTGTGTTCAAAAATTGTTATAACGTGGAAAGGTTGAGAATTTCTCTTCTTTGAGAGTGCAGGAGTGATGAAGTACCTGACTTAAGATATGGGTCAATTCTTGACTTTTGTGAGCGTGGTAATGAACACTGCCTGAGGTTTCATAACATCACATAGTTTTGTGAACAGCTGAATAAAAAAGATGTAGTTTGTTAGTCAGGACTTGGCATAAGATATTGAAATTTGTGTTCAGTCTCTGAGTGAAATAAGTCAGACTGTATTCTGGTATCATTAATACCAAATGTTACTTTTCTTTCTTGTAGAAAAGAACATGAAATAACTTTAAGGCAACTAGAGCACAATCTTTTATCCATTATAAAGAACACACAAAAATGTCTCGTTGAGTTTGGCATTAGCTGTACTATCAGGTGCATAAGCATTACTTTATATTCATAATTTGTTCTTTGTTATATTGCATTTGATACACTTCTGTAATGTCCCTGTCCTAGAAATCTATTTATTTCTTCTGTGAATATGTTGTAGAGCGAGACTTTACTGGTACAAACTATAGAAGAGCACATGCTAATGAATGGCATTTGGCAAGACAGCTTTAGATTTTCTCCTTGCCACTACATCTGGACTGGCTACCCCAGTCTTCTATGTAGTGGGAACTGGGAACT